TTTTTTTTGCGGATGTAAAACGGCTGTTTTCTTTTTCGTCTCTGCAACCACATAGTTGCTGTAAAAGTCGTCTGCTGTATCTATGATAGGCTTTAAATCGGTCGATTTCTTGTCAAATCATTGCTAGGTTTCTGATTTATGAGCAGTATACGAAATATGTAAAACAGAATCAATTCGAAATGAAAACAGGCGTTAGGAAGTATTTTGGCTATGCTGATGCTGTTTCATTTCAGAGCAGTCAATTATGGGGCTATTGGGTCAGTAATTGGACACGAAATAACGCATGGATTTGATGATCAAGGTGACATAACTAAAAATTTAAGCTCTTGACATTTCTCTTTTTATTATAATCTAAATACAACGCTATTGAAAATGGATGACTACTTTTAAGAAATCTTCACTTCTCAGAGAAAATAAATCATCAAGGAGTTTTTGTCATTGAAAAGTAGAGCGAATCTAAAAAAAGCTGATTTAAACGACTAAAGAAGAGAAGCGAATGAGACCCCTTCTGCAGGAAGTCAATTTGATCACAATGGGAATCTACGTGAGTGGTGGGACGAGAATACGGCAAAAAATTTCCATGAAAAGAAAAAGTGCTTTGTGAAAGAATATGAGCAATATTTGGTGCCGGGAACGGATCTGCATATTAACGGGCTGCTTACACAAGGAGAAAACATAGCTGATAATGGAGGTGTCAAAGAAGCTTTTCGAGTAAGTAAAGTTTGAGGGAGCTGTGAGCGCATAGTGAGAATAATAATTCAGTTAGCAAGCAAGGTCTATGCGTATTTTCTCGAACAATCAGTGGAACTTATTTGGATACGTTTGCTCCGACTACTATCAGTATTTTTATCCGCTTGATTTTGTAGCAGCGGTGCTAAATGCACGTATTTGAGTGTATATTGGATTGTGTGAATCCCTATCAAGTCAGCAACTACGGGAAATACGAAGCTCAAATTTTAGGAGGGTATGTGCTGCCCACTCAGTCTCATTCTCGCCATCATAAATAAAAACTTGCATGTGTGATTTAGTCTCATGTACAGACACGTGAAATTTTCTAGCTTGGAAACCAGACAAGATAGAAAGATGAAATATCAGGGGAATATTTTCTGTCGATCTGCCACCCGACAAATTTTGTTTCCAGCCTTTATACACGCTTATGCTTTACTTTTAATTAAACGGAAGTCCAGTGGGGAAATTTGTATCAGGTCTTAAGAGATTGTTTCTGCTCATGTACTCCCTCACCGAAGTAAAATCAGTATTCATGGAGCCACAAAAAGCGCTATATCGCACTGCCTAGTGCCTACCATTATTCACACTGTCTTGTAAAAAGAGACCGAAACCAGCTGATTATCTCTAAAAAAATTTTCCTGAGCAGTCACTGCGAAATTTTGCAAAGAAAATAGCGCAGTTGTGAATTTAACGGAAAGACACTGCTAGTAGTGCTTTACTATTAAGCAGATCACTTGATCGGTACGGATCTTTTAAATTTGTACGAGAATTTTTCAATAAGTTTAATTATCTCTTATGTTTTCTCATGTCATTATGCGTCTGGAAACAACTGCAAAATTGCCAGCGTCAAACTGCTTATGTCCGCACGTAAGACGTAGGAGAGAGATGAAAGTTGTTTTTACGTAGGCATTCCTAAACACGACTGTGAGTAACACCCAGAAAATGTTAACATTCTAGTTGTTGTAGTTTTGTGGTCAGTGCCAAATTCCACGTGTCCGCACGTCAGCTGTGGCGGTAAATGGAAATTGTTTCCAAATGCATCTGCCCAAACGTCGACGCGAACTAAACTCGCGAAATTCCAATATTTTAGCTGTTTTAGCTGAAAAATTACAATGTCGCCAGCGTCAAATTCCACATGTCCCTCCATGGGGCATAGGTGTTGTGAAAGCTCATTTTACGTTTACAGATCCATATTCAGATTCATACAGCAAGCACTCTTGAAAAAGGAGTCCTTCTACTCTCGGGTTGGCACAGTGCTAGTTTGGGCTTTAGCGCTCCGTAAATAAGACGCAGATGTATTTAAAGATTAGATTTAAATTCTATGAGTAGTATATCCTTGTGAAGTTTCAATATTCCAGCTTGATTTTGGTTTCCGAAATCGCTTTCCAGCGAAAATGTTTTTCACATATCCATGAGTGAAAGCTGTGAGGCTGTAAACTTTCATTATTCGCCCAGGTAGCCCTTCATAGCGGTATAGTATTTTGCCAAGATTTTGATTTTATAGCTTTCATAAATTAGGAAAATGCAGTATGTGGACAGACACGCACAAATACGCTTAAACAGCTTCTCTATAATACGCCTTTTTGCATTGCAGAACAACAAAGACGTAAAATAAATAAGCAATTTCAAAAGATTTTTTTTTGCAGGCATATCGGAATTACATCAAGAAGCTTGGCCATGAAGAAAAACGATTGCCGAGTCTGGAACATTTCGATATGAACCAGATTTTCTTCTTAAGTTATGCGCAGGTATTTATCAAGTTACTATTTCTTTCACTTGGCAAAGGGAATAAAAACTAAGTGGTGTATCCTGCAAGGAGCTTCTTGTCAGATTCGTCAACTACATACCGCGTGAAAAGGATTGATCAGTTATAATCAGTAACAGCACGCACCAGGGTTGCTGGTGTAATCATGCTTTTTTGCACAACTGCAAAATTGTGACGTGTCGAAAGAGAGATTTTTTCTAAATTAGAAGTTGATTTTAGACATACTCATGGACGGGACATGGTCCATGCTCGCAAAATTTCAGCTTTCTAGATAGCCTGGATGTGGAGTTGCGAAGTCGTCAGCATCAACTTTCCACTTGCCCATACAAGATCGTCATTTTTTAACGCGCAGCTGCCCAGACACAGTCGAGAAAATTTTAGCGCTCTAGTTGCTTTGGTTGTGGAGTTACAAACTGCCACGGCGAAATTCCGTTTGTCCATAAGTGAGATGTAAGAGAGGTAAAAGCTCGTGAGCATCTCTGTAAAATTGCAGTTTTTTACTCCGCTCACTTTTTAACCCCTCAATTTTCCGAATTGGTGTGGTGTCAATTTGAACTCTAGCTATCTATAAGTTACACATGGAAATGCATGAAGGCAGAATTCTCCGAGTGCTACGTAGATAGGAGTATCTTTGTGAAGTCTCAAAGTCCGAACGCGTTTCATTTCCGAAACCGTTTCCCCGTCAAACAATATTTCAAATTTCCGTACGTGAGAACAAGGAAGAAGCGAATGTTCATTTTGCGCCTTGAATCATCTATATTTATAAAATTATGCCACCAAAATTTCAACTGTTTTTAATAAAACTGCAAGTCAAAATGTGCGGGTAAGTATCCGCATACACACACACACACACACACCCGCTCCGCAGCACGCACATCTGCATTGCCTAGGCACAAAAAAAGGAGTTCTGTTATGGAACAGCAATTCTGCTCGAATTGTTAATTTGTTTTAAAGTAAATTGGTAGTGACGTACGTTAGGTCACACTGAGCCCGGTTCTCAAATCAACCCTCAGGAACAGAATAACAGTTAACCGTTGCTGCTGGTACAGCAATTATTAAACCGCCAGCCTACAAAATATGCGCAGGTTTTTAATTGTGACCCTTGATCTGTGCTGTTAATTGTAGTATTTACGAGCAGAGTAACGTATTTGTGCTGTAGCGATTATCTTTTTTAGAATAAATCATCCTTCAGACTTGGTGTGGACATTCGCGATCAGCTGCGCTAATCCGGCAAGTGCTAACAGATCCTCACGCACCGCTACAAACACGGGTGAATGGGGTGCTTATTAATCAACCGGACTTTGCAAGGGCATTCAGATGCGCACCAGGAACACCAATGAATCCGATGCATAAATGCTCACTGTGGTAGAATAGTAGCTATGTAGTCAGAATTAGTAAAATTGCCAGCTGTAATTATTTCTATGCCAATAATGCAATTTTCGTTGCTTTCTGTTTACTCGAAGCTAGGGTTCAGTTTTATTACAGTTCAGGAAAATTCGGAAATTTTTCAGCTCTAGTTCGTTATCTTAGAAGTTGCCTTTCAGATAGCTTCCGACTTTTTCACTGCTATGAGAAGCAAAAAGCCGAAGTTTTTGGCAGTTACTGAGTAAAAAAAAATATTCCTTTAAATTAGGTCAAAATTTTATATTTTTGCATTTTCCTACGCTCACCTAAACAGTTTTCAGGGATTGTATATGTGACTGCTTTTTATGTGTTTTTTTCATAAACGTTACTGCGAGATTTCAGCTTTCTGTCCAAATATCTCATATGAACATTTAAAGTTCTGAGTGCAATTCAAACGCACTGATGGGCCAGAAAAGCAAATCTTTATGCATTTCACTTTCATCTCAGCAACCAGCAAAGCTGGGAGGCTAAAACTTTGGATATATGTTCCTACCTCGTGTGTCATTCTCTCGTTTTAAGATTTTTCTCCATATGCACCTAGACCCCGTATACGGGACTCCCAAAGAAATATATTGGCGGAAAACAATGTCGCGAACCACGCAAGATAAAAAGCTGAAACTTTGCAGAGATATTCTCTATGCGCGTGCGAGCTTTAAATTTTAAACTCAGCTCTCTAGTTCCCCAATCACAGCCTCAAGCAGGTCCTTAACCTAGAAATCGTTCGCAACTCGGACCTGAACCGCAACAGTATATATAAATGAACATGGATTTTTTGACAAACAACCGCTCAAGCAATACTTCCGATTTTCAATGAACTGGAAATTTGCATTTTTTTCAAAAAACTTGCATTTGTCATTTTTTCACAAAGCGAGCATTTA